ATCACCTTGTTATAGCACTGTGGCAGGCGGAGGGAAGTGCTGCAACTTGGGTTTCCTGTGCCTCCATAGCGCCCCCATGTGGTGGATAGGTTCTTGACATAGCTGAGAGTGGGCAGTGAAGTTGGTGAAGAGGGGGGCCACTGTGGTGCAACATCACCCTGGATTCAGCCTGAGCAAACCCACTGCCAAAGACTTGGAGTCTCCACCCCACCCCTCTCCATGAGATAACAGAAGCCACATTCTTTCCCTTTATACTCCCCAGAGACCATTTTGCACAGCAGGTGGAAGACTGTTTTTCTTAAAGAGACTAAGTCTTGGATGTAAAGATTATTCAATAAGATGAAATTTAAAGGTAACCCCCCCCCCCACACACACACACACACACAAACCTGTGACGGGCTGGAGAGGCCAGATTTTTTCTTCGCATCCCAGATACTGGGTGAGTTACATTTTGAGACCCTTCTATATTTATAAAAACTGAAAGACAGGAAACAAATGTACTGCAATGGGAGAATGATTTAGCAGGTTATTACACATGCAAGAAATGCAATTTTATATGGTTATTAAAATTATGTTTGTGAATAATTTAAATTATACAGTAAGTGGATTTTAGGATACAATGTGTATATGCTGAAAGATCTCAGTTCTATATAAGTAATAACGCAGGAGGAAATTCAACAACATGTTAAGCACGGTTATTTGAAATGGAAGAGCCTCATTCTAAGGGGCTAGAAGTACAAATTCAGAGGTTTCTCTGTTGGCCCTGGAGGAAGGTCCTTGTCTCTGAGCTTCTGCTCCTGGGAGATCTTCATGTAGCTTGGCATCTCTCTTCCTCCATCTCTGCATCCTAGTTTTCTTGTTTAATCTCTTTTATATCTCAAAAAGGGTTGATTTAATAAGACACACCCTGCACTAACCCTGTCTCATTAATATAACGGAGACAAGCCATTCCCAAATGGGATTATAACCCCAGGCATAGAGGTTGAGATTTATAACATATATTTTTTTGAGAACACAATCCAATCCATAATACTGGGGAACCCTGGAGCAGGGTTTCAGCTCCTGCCTCATCTCCTTGACCTGTTCTGACCACAGTTCTCCACAGCTGTAGCTGATAATGCTTCACCCTAGGCCTGCCTGATACCTGAGCCACTTCTGAACAGAGTAGGAGGTATAGCTAAATCAGAGGCCTTGACCTCACCATCTTCTGAGCTCCAGGCTGAGTTTTGCTATCACTGGGTCTTCTATCCAGAGTGCCAGAACGAGCCCTGGGTGCTCACAGGGCCTGACCCATAGCTTTCCATCCTCTCTCTTTCCAGCTCTAGGGAAAAGAGCTCCGCCTCCTCAATGTCCCTACCTGCTAAGCCTGGAACCCTGTTCTTATCCTCCAGTCACTTTGTTTTCCCTTCTCCACAGGGCTAGATTCAGCTCCCCACACTTCCTAGCCATTGGCTGGGCTCCTGCCAAACAAACAGGTCACCCCAAACTATAGCACACTGCTTACCCCTACAGCACCTCCAAACATCCAGAAGCTGGGCATCATTCTTGGCCCTCAAGTCCTATTGATTCTGAATGCCCCTCAGATCATTTCTTCTTTTCATTTCCACTGCCACAGCTATAGACCAAACCATTATAGCCTCTATTCTGGATAACTACAAGAGTTTTCTAATTGGGTTCATTACCTCCACTTTCTCTGCAGTCACACGATCTTTGAAACATACAAATTAGATCTTATCAACCTCCATGGGATCATGCTTAAGATGCCCAGCCCCATCTCCATCCAACATACCCACCTCTACCCATTCTCTGGCTCCTGTCACATGGCCTTTCCTCCTTATAGCCTCTTTAACACACCAAGGCCCTGAGCACCTTTTATTGCTTCAGGACTTCCTCCATTGACACACTGGATCTTATTGTTTGGAATAGCAGCCTGCGCATAAGAGCTTGCCATATTCTTTGTTCTTTGGCCAAGTGCTTTGGGCAACAGGATGCCCACACTGGGTGCCTCTGCTCCAGTCAGTGTCCTCAGCTGTCCTCTTGCTTACCCACCTCCCTGACCACTCCTGTGATTGGGTCCCAGCACAGTGTCAGATACAGGGCACTAGAGAGGTGGCTACTGCAATAACTGAAGTGAGAGATTATGAGGATCTGAACTGTGAAAAAGGCAATGAGACGAGAATCTTGTTTTTCAGTGACCTGTGACTTCAGGTTGGGTAATCTACTTCTGTAGTGATACCGCCTCGGAAACCCAAGGGAGGGGTCGCTATGAGTTGGATCCGACTTGACGGCAGGGAGTTTGAGTTTTGAGTTTGTGACTTCAAGTGGCCCAACTGAAGTGTGAATTCTGAGCCTCAGAGCCACACAGTTGAGCCCAGTCACAAACATGCAGGAGGGCAAACAAATGTTTGAACTATGATAAAGAACAATGGGAGCACAATATTCATTATTCAATTGTTGACAGCAAGAGCAGGTTCCAATCTGGAAAGATTAGCAATCAAGGGTCTGAGCAAGTCTCCTGGGGTCTGGGAATACAACCCCACTTCACAGAGCCAGGCCTCCCTCTGGCCTATGTCCAAGACCATTCTCTAGGACAAAGAAGCAGAAGGCAGTGGAAGGAGCATTAAGCTTTGCCTCCCACAGCTCTGGATTTGAATCCTGGTTCTGCCATTTTGTAGCTGTATAACTCTGAGCTAGTTGCTTAACCTCTCTGAGGCCTCTCACTTCCTCTGTAATGTGTGCGTGGAAGCAGAACAGTCCAGTGATTAATATGGGCATTAAAATCTGATGGCCTGGGCTTATATTCCTCTCTCTTCTACACACTAGTTATAAAGCCTCTGAACTTCAGTTTCACATGTAAAAATAGGGATAATAATCATATGCACTTCATGGAATTGTGAAGATTCAATAAGATAATGCAAGTGATCAGCACAGTACTAACACACAGGAAGCATTCATAGTTGGTGGCTATAGCTATTATCATAGAAAGCATCTAACACCATGTTTGATACATTACCAGTTCACCAATTGCCATCAATAGATTCTGATTTATACAGATGTTGGCATAGTGCCTAAGGCACCAGAAGGCTGGAGGTTCAAACCCACCAGCCACTCCTCAGAAGGAAGATTGGGCAATCTACTTCCACAGAGATACCACCTCGGAAATCCAAGGAAGGGTTGCTATGAGTTGAATCGACTTGATGGTAGTGAGTTTTTTCACATGTGTTAGAAGGAGCTCTGGTGGCACAGTACCTAAGGCATATGACTGCTAACCAGAAGGCTGGCAGTTCAAACCCACCACCTGCTCCACAGAAGGAAGACAGGGCAATCTACTTCCATAAAGATTTACTTTCTTGGGAACCCAATGTGGGTCACTGTGAGTAGGAATTGACTTGATGGCAGTTCATGTGTATTAAGAGTAGAGCTGTGTTCCATAGGGTTTTTAGTGACCAATTTTTCAGAAGGAAATTGACAGGCCTGTCTTCCAAGGAGCCTCTGGGTGGACTCAAACTTTAAATCTTTCAGTTAGCAGCCAAGCAAATTAGCTGTTCAGGCCACCCAAGAACTCTTTGACATATGAGAGGGACTCAATACTTATTAGTTCACCACCACCACCCTCCTTTCCCCAAGTCAAACAGGATCCATCCACATGCCACTAAGTAAGTCTTCTCATTGTTAAGACATGTACATTTCAACTCTAGATCTCTTCACAGAGCTAGGTTTGGGCACACTAGCCAGCAAGGCAAAGTTCCTGACCAAAGAGAAATGGCATCCTTTCAATAGGGAGTTGCTCAACTGGGAGACTGTTTACACTTGACAATAACCCAGTCAATGTGGAAGGACTCTTTTCTGAAAATTTACTCATTCATAAAGTTATCAAGGTATAAAACAACAATACAAAAGGTGTTATTAAAAATGCAGCCTGGCGGCCAACAAACACATGAAGAAATGCTCACAATCATTAGCCATTTTTGTTGTTGTTGTTATTTGCCATCGAGTCAGCCCCGACTCATAGCGACCCCTCCTTGGGTTTCCGAGGCAGTATCAAAACAATAATGAGATACCATCTTGCCCCAGCGCTAGCAGCAAAGTTCAACAAGACAGAAAATAACAAATGCTGGCAAGAATGCAGAGAGACTGGGACTCTCATATACTGCTGGTGGGACTGTAATATGCTACAACCACTGTGGAAAGCAGTATGGTGATTCCTTAAAAAGTTGGAAATAGAAATACCATTAGATCCAGGCATTCCATTACTAGGTATATATCCTAAAGAAGTGAGAGCCATGATAAGAACAGATAAATGCACACCCATGTTCATCGCAGAACTATTTACAACAGCCAAAAGATGGAAACAACCTAGGTGTCCATAGCTGAGGAATGGATAACCAAACTATGGTACATATACACAATGAAATACTATGCAACGCTAAAGAATAATGTATAATCTGCAAAACACTACATAACATGGATGAATTTGGATGACATTATGCTGAGTGAAATAAGTCAATCACAGAATGACAAATATTGTATTAGTCCATTATTGTAAAAGTCAAGGAATGGTTTATATATGGAAGGAAATTTTCTTTGTTGGTTACCAGGGGTGGGAGGGTAGGGAAGGGAACACTGTTAGATAGGTAGAGATAAGTATTGATTTGGGTGAAGAGAAGGGCAATGTACCAAATGTGAGTGATCAACATGGTGGCACTGAGAAAGAGGAAGACATAGAGAGGTACATGGGAGGTGCAGACAACAAAGATTAATCCTTTTGCACATACAGTACTGTGTTGTCAGTGAAGGCAAACACGGGTATATGAGTGGCTAGATTGGTGGACAGGCTGAACTATTAGGTATGTCTATGCAGCAGGTAGTGTGCCCAAGACCATCTATAGGGTTGGCAGACAATGGTTCTACATGTGTATTTGTATGTTCTGTAAGAATTCCCAGGGGTATAGTAGAACTGAGAAGGAACAAGGTTGTAGTCACTTCTTGGTCACAGCCAGCTACCCAGAGGGAGTGAGTAGCTGAATCTGTGGACACAGGTGCAGGGGACATCAAGCTCAAGTGGCATAACATACTATACAAAACACTGTTCCACCTCCTACTTTGGTGAGTAGCGACTGGGATCTTAAAAGCTTGCAAGCAGCCATCTAGATGCAATGATGGGTCTCTCCTCATCCAGAGCAAAGAAGAAGGAAGAAAACCAAAGATTCATGGAAACAATTAGTCCTCGTGACTGGTACACCATGCAATCCTCAGCCTATAGGATTATGAGACCTACCACTGTCAACCACTCAGAGGGGGATCTATGTACGAGATCCTGGATAGAGAGGGAGAACAATGTGGAACAAAACTCAAACTCATTTGGAAAAAAAAAGGGGGGGAGGGGACTAGGTTTGCTGGTCTGACAGAGCCTGGTGGAACCACTGAGACTATGGTCCCTAGCTGTCCTTCTGGTCTGGAATTGAACCCACACCTGTGGCTTCCAGCCAAACAAAAGACAGGCATATGAGTTGAACATGTACCTGAGTACATACACTCCTTGGAGAGAACAATCATGGGAGAAAGAGGAGCTATTTATGCACAGGGAGACAGCTCAGGGGGCAGGAGTGCATGGAGGGATGGACACAGGGAAGACGTAACTATCGGGAGGAAGTGGGAGGGGAGCTGTTGCATTGGGGTAAATTGTAGTCAATGTCATGAGACAAAGTGTATGTGAACTGCTGTATAGAAAGTGAATTTACTCTGTGAACTTTCACCCAAATCACAATTAAAAAAAAAAAAAAGGCAGCCTGGCAGAGAGAGCCTGAGAGATGAGGACCAGGCAACCACACCAGAGAACACTGGTGGCCTTTTTGAGAACAGCACCAGGAACGAGCCAGGGAAGACAGAAGGCAGGAAAGTCTATGGCAGCATGGAATCAATGCACGAATAAACTGGCAACTCCAGGGGGCAGGAAAAGGTATAAGGGACAAGGAGGCTAGAAGCACGAGAGCAGAGGTATGGGGGTTAAGAGAGAGTGGGAGTGTGGAATGAAAGCAAGGAGTATAATACACACAGAGGAATGTGCCCCTGGAAACTTCTCCCCCAGCTACTCTGCATCCAGATGAGGGATATACTTCAACTCTGCACCATGACCAAGCCAGTTTATCTCAGGTTGTTCTGGGGGTCTCATTTACCACCTGCCTCTAAAAACAAGGCTTCCACCCAGGGCAAGGGTCATTGTGAAAAGTCTAGAAAGACTCAATTCACATCTAAAGAAAGCTCCTCCATGAGCCACACCATGGGGCCCCACCACCAATGTCTTGGTCTTGGTCTTGATTCTAGCAGAGCTTGTCCAAAGAGTGTTCCAAGATGGCAGCACGAAGAGTCAGGTAAGACTTGGTGTACTACTCTCTGTCTTGAGCTCCAGAGTGGAAGTTGATGGAAGAAATGCTCAACAATGCCATAGATGGTGCTGGTGGGGCCTGGAGATGCTTCACTTCTGGGTATCCTCAGTCATCCTGAAGAAATCCAAGGGGAGAGATATATCAACAGAGAAGATTTAGTAAAAGGCTTATGTCATAGGGTAGATAAAGTTCACTTACATGGTACTGGTGAGGCCCTCATTCAACTGCTCTACTGATCAACATGGCTAATGTATTCACTTGAAGTGGAAATGTTTCAAGAGACATAACGACCATTGCTATTTTTCTTCTATACCTCTTTCTTTCCATCCCTTCACTTTAAGAAATCTTTGGGCTTTCATGTATATAGACAAAGTTCAGACCCACCAACAAGGTCCCAAGTTGTTATGGGTTAAATTGCATCCCCCCCCCGCCCCACAACATATGTATTAAAATTCCACCCTCTATGTCTGTGGATGTGACCCTGGTTTTGCTTTTGTTATGTTAATGAGATGATACTAGGATGGATCCTAAACCTCATCACTTCTGAGTTAGAAAAAGACCAGAAAAGACACAGAGACACACTGGGAAAACAAATGCCAAGAAACACCAAGGAATGCCAGTGGACTCTGGAAATGAATAGAGACTTACAGAAGGAGTCTACATGGCTGAGACCTAGATTTGGATTTATAGCCTCCAAAATTGAGAGCATGTAAATTTCTGTTTTTTAAAGCCATCTACTTATAGTATTTTTGTTATGGCAACACTAGATAACTGAAACACAAGTTATCGCCTTTCATATCTTGCAGGAATTTTTCTGATGGTTAACATACCTTCAAGGAGCTCTGGTGGTGCAGTAGTTAAAACAATTTGGCTGCTAACTAAAAGGTCAGTGATTTGAACCCACCAGCCACTCCATGGGAGAAAGATGAGGCATCTGCTTTCCTTAAAGATTTACAGCTTTGGAAACCCTTTGGACCAGTTCTACTCTGTCCTATCAGGTTGTTATGAGTTGTAATCAACTCGATGATAATGGGTTTGGTTTGGAACTTACTCAAGCCCACCACCAAAGATTTATCCTGCTGCCCCCTTGCGATGCAGTAAATTCAATGGTGTGGCTTTTCTAGCCATAGTCTTTGTAAACTCAATGGTGGCATTTGCTGTGAGCAACTGAGTAGCTCCTGATTGTTTAAGTTATCCACCTGGTGTATTTCTATTGGAGCAGCATGAAGCAATCTTCTGGGAAGTTCACTCTCAGGTGTATAGAATTCTGATGTTGGGATTGGTTAGTTTTGCTACTCTGCCAGGCTTAAAATGAGCCCTCCTAGAGGCAGAAGGGGAGCTCTGGTAGCATAGTGCCTAAGGCACTTGACTGCTAACCAGAAGGCTGGTGGTTCAAACCCAGCAGCCACTCCTCGGAAGGAAGATGGGGCAATCTACTTCCGTAGTGAAACTGCCTCGGAAACCCAAGGAGGGGTCGCTATGAGTCGAGTCCGACTCAACGGCAAATAACAACAACGACAACAGAGGCAGACGGAGTCTGTTGTCTCTCTGACTGCCAGCTGAGAAAGATATGCTGCTCAGAGAAACATGCTGCTGAGAGATACACTGCTGAGAGAGAGACATGAGAAACATGCACTGCTGAGAGAGAGACATGCTACTGAGAGAGACTGGTGGCTGAGAGATGGCCAGCTAAGAGAGACTGGGTGCATTCCTGAACTTGAATGATAGCCTATTGCTTCCCTAATAAACCTGATAATGTGAGTTCTGTGTGACCACTGCAGCTAATCATCAAACCCAGCACAGAGGTGGTGGGTACCATGGGAGGAACGGTTGGTGACAAGGTTAGCAGGAGGGCTGAACGGTGGCAGCATGTCTGGCCTCATAGGAGCAGGCCTTGGGCTGCTGATGGTGATTCTGTCTTCCTCTTGTGGAGTTAGAGGAGGTCAGAAGATGCTGCCTCCTTGCCCCTTTGGCACCCTTCCTCCTCCTACACCCAGCTACAACCAATACATATAAAACTGCCAAAAATAGAACCACACCAATACCAGCTCCACAGCCTTCTCCCTGACCTACCCACTCCTCATCTTCTGCCCCATCTCCCTGCTCTCGGGTCTCTGCCACATCCCCTTCTGAAGACTTCTGGGCCATGATGTTGTCTGTCCAGGATGCGCCTGTCTTTCCATCACCAGCGAAATTACACTTGGTCACTGTTCCAGCCTCAAGTTTGGCTAATGAATCTGAAAGAAGGGAAGAAGTTGAATGGCCTCCCTCTCAGTGGTGGAAACAGATAGGGGCTGGTTCCATTCTGGTAGGTGCCCCAGGACTGGGTTAAGCCACTGTTCTCTCCAGGCCAGGATGTGGTTGGTGAGGCCCTCAGTGGGATCCTCAGAGGCACCAGGTTATTAGGTCACTCACAGATATCACAGGATTGGGCAACACCCTGGGATCCAGAGTGTTTAGGCAAAAGACCCCAAGGAACTTGTCCAGGACTCAGGAATAAATCTCAAAGGGTCATGCCCCACAGAGACCAGACCAACCTGTTCCCATGATCTCTGAGCAGGAGAGGTGGGGGAGCCTCAGAAGGGAGACCCAGAGCCCTCATATGCCACACAGGAAATAATGCCAGAGTGGGGGCCACATTGCTCACCCAGGAAGGGGCCGTCACCCCGAGTTTTCAGCCGTATCCCGGCCCCCAGCTCAAGCTCCATCACCTCCATCTCTGTCTCAGGTATCCAGAATGCCACGGTCTGGTCTGGAGTCAGGCTCTCTGTCAGTGCAAGCAGCTCTGGCTTATTGACCAGCCCCTTAAGTGCTTCTGGAGTGAGCCTGTCGGTGTCCCCCTTGGCTTCCACCTCTGCAGACATACAGCATGAGAAGGTTATATTTGATTTAATAACAAGCATTTACAAAGGCCCTTTATTTTTCTTTGTTTTTTGATTTTTTAAAAAAATTTATTTTATTTTCTGTTGTTGTTGAAAATATACACAGCAGAACATACAGCAATTCGACAATTTCTACATGTACAATTTAGTGACACTGATTACATTCTTTGAGTTGTATAACCATTCTTACCCTTCTTTTCTCAGTTGTTCCTTCTCCATTAACATAAACTCATTACCCCTTAAGGTTCCTATCTAATCTTCTGAGTTGCTGTTGTCAATTTGATCCCTTATGGAGATCTTAAAAGAGCACAATGCTCAAGGCAGACATTTTTTACTGGTTAAGCTAAACTACTGTTTGGTTTTAAGAAGACTTCAGAGGATATTTTTGGTTTAAGGTTTAAATATTATCTCAGGGCAATGGTTTCAGGGGTCCATCCAGCCTCCATGACTCTAGAAAGTCTAGAGTCCAAGAATTTGAAGTTCTGTTCTGCATTTTCCCCCTCTTGATCAGGATTCTTCTACAGAATCTTTGTTCAAAATGTTCAGTAATGGTAGCTGGGCACCATCTAGTTCTTCTGGTCTTATGGCAAAGGAGGCAGTTGGTCATAGAGGCAATTAGCCCCATATTCCATTTCTTCCTCCTATTCCTGACTCTCCTTCTTCCTCTGTTGCTTGAACAGAGAGCCTTCTTTAACAAGGGCTGAGTGTTCTACACATATTGCCTCATTTAACCCTCGTAACTACTGTAAGGTAGGTCTCCCTATGCATACCCATTCTGTGAGTACTCAACAAACTCCACAGCAGAGAAATTATGGCATGGGCTGCCTAGTATGAATCTGGGCTCTACTGCTTATAAGCTGTGTGACCTCAGGCAAATTACTTAACTTCTCGGTGCCTGAAAAATAGGGATAAAAATTGTACTTCTTTGACAGGACTGACATGAGGTATAAATGAAATGATGCATGTAAAGCACTTAGCACGGTGTTTGACCAGTAAATCTCAGTGAGTGTTAATATGTCCGTTATTCCCATTTTACAGATGAGTAAACCAATGCCTAGAGAGGTTAAGTAACTTAAGTAACTTGTCAATGATCACACAGGTAGTTAGTGGAGGAGGCAGGATTCAAACCCACCACACAATTCTGCCTTCCCACTGAAACCCTAGTGGCCAGAATCTCCAGATTCTAACGGCCTCCATAGCTGGGATAGGGTCTGCTGGAACCAGAAGTAAACTTTGGTGGTCCCCAAACTCCACTAGTCCACTCATCCTCACTCTGACAGAGCTCATAAACTCAAAGAGGAAAACAACAGCCTCATTTTCTCACTCCTAAAGCCCCACATTTGTAGACCTTGGGAGGGGTCTGGTGTTACCTTCTTCAAGAAGCCTCCCTAGGGGCTCAGAGGTCCCCAGACTTCACAAAAGTGTGCATGCCCATACCTCAGCACAGCAACCCAGAGCCAACCAATAGGCTTTCTTTTCCACACAAACATCTAGGTGGCCACACTATGCTTGAGAACATCCCAGTCAACCCATGCAGACCTGCCCATGTTCCATTCATGGTCAGCTAAGCTTTACCAGGGATACCTCTCACATTGCTCCTCATGAATGCCCACAAATCATCCTACCTCCTACTTTCCAAGATTACACTTCCCTACCACCACCTAAACATAAAGAAAATGGGAATCCTCACAACTGGACAAATAAGCAATATCACAATAAATGGAGAAAAGATTGAAGTTGTTAGGAATTTTCAATTTACTTGCATCCACAATCAACACCCTTAGAAGCAGCAGTCAAGAAATCAGACATCATATTACACTGGGCAAATATGCTGCAAAAGACCTATTCAAAGTGTTAAGAAGCAAAAATATCACTTTGAAGACTAAGATGCACCTAACCGAAGTCATGGTATTTTCAATCACCACATAGGCATGTGAAAGCTGGATAATGAATAAAGAAGACCAAAGAAGAGTTGATGTGTTTGAATTGTGGTGTTAGTGAAGAATACTGAAAATACCGTGGACTGCCAGAAGAATGAACAAATCTGTCCTGGAAGAAGTACAGCCGGAATGCTCCTTAGAGGCAAAAAAGGCTAGACTTCATCTCATGTACTTTGATCATTTTGTCAGAAGGGATCATTCCCTGGAGAAGAATATCATGCTTGGTAAAGTAGAGGGTCAGTGGAAGAAGGCAAAGACCCTCAACAAGATGGAATGACATAGTGGTTGCAACGATGGACTCAAGCATAGTAGAGATTGTGAGAATGGTGCAGGACCAGGCAGTGTTTCATTCTGTTGTCCACAAGGTCACTATGAGTCAGAGCTGACTCTATGGCACTTAACAACCACAACCACCACCACCTACCTGTCAACTTACCTGCTGTTGTTGTTAGATGCCATCAAATTAGTTCTGACTCATAGCGTCCATATGTACAACAGAACAAAATACTACCCAGTCCTGAGGCATCCCCATAGTTTTGACTATGTTTGAGCTCACTGTTGCAGCCACTATGTCAATCCATCTTGTTAAGGGTCTTCCTCTTTTTTGCTGACCCTCTACTTTACCAAGCATGTCCTTTTCCAGAGACTGGTCCCTCCTGATAAATGTCCAAAGTTTGTGAGATGAAGTCTTGCTATCCTTGCTTCTAAGGAGCATTCTGGCTGTACTTCTAAGACAGATGTGTTTGTTCCTCTGGCAGTTCATGGTATATTCAACATTCTTCATCAACATCATAATTCATAGCAGGAGCTAGCAAATCCCAAAATCTGCAGGTAAAGAGCGGCAGGATGCTGGTTCAAGTCCCAAAAACTGGAGGCCAGAAGATGACCAGTCAGACACAGGGTGGAGAGCTTGTGAGCTATGACAGAACATCCACGTACATCTATTGGATGCAGGCCACACCCCCAAGGAAACTCCTTTTTCAACTGATTGGCTGCTCACATCAGATCACAAAATGGAGGATTACCTAATATCTGCCAAACCATTAACAAACAGCCTAGCCAAGCTGACACATAAACTTAACCATCACACAGTTACAGCCTAGAATTAGGTTATGGATGATCCTATTACACTCAAGGAGATGGAAGGCCAGACAGGCTCCTGGCCCTGAGGTAAGGCAATAGGGAACCTCTGAATGAATGGGAAGAAGGAGTCTAGTCCAGTCAGGGGGGCCCTGAGGGTATGATTTCAAGACTGACCATGCTAAGAACATACTTTCTAGGGGCTGAGAGGCTCAGAGGACAAGAAAGGCTACACTGGTAGAAGGGACTTGTAGGAGGAGGGGCGGAGGATACTTACTGTAGGATGACATCAGGAAGCCTGTATTCACCTTCCTAGTAGCACTGAAGTTGGGCTCAATTTCATTTCCTTTGGGGTCGAATTTGCGGCGATGGATGCAACTGGGCTGGACATACAACACATAGTAGCGCTCCTGTGGCCAGGTAGAGGAAGAGTAAAGGGACTGCCTTCACTGCCCCTACCTCAACACACAACTCCCCAAGGCTCTAATTACAGCCCTCCTTTACCTCTCCTGGACCCCATAATCCCATCTAAGCTCTATCAATTTCAACCTGGGCAGATGCCCCCCATTGAGATATTCATTCACTCTTTCATTCATCTGTGTGTTCAACAGAGCACCTGCCACATAATGAGCCATGCTAGTAATACATGTCAGGTTGGACACAAGGCCTCCACATAGCCAGAAACAGAGAGTATGCACAGTAAAACCATCACCCAAGGACAAAGCACTAAGGACATCAAACACCATAAAGCAGTAGTGGATACAGCCAAGGTGTCATGGAAAGAGTACAGAAAAGGAGCCCAGGGCAGCCACTCTGCCTCTTCCAATAGATGTGTGACTTGGGACAAATCACTCCTCACCCTCCTGAGCCTCAATTTCCCCTGTAACATGGGGACAATGTGATGTCTACTTTCAGGAATGCTGTAAGGGGTCAATGCGATTATGGTGGAGCAAGCATGGGGTCAAGTACGACGTGTGCCATAAATGCTATTTGCCAGCTATTCTAGTAACAACAGGACCAGTGAAACCCAGGAAACTGAAGAAGAGAAGACTACTTCCTGGGAGAAACAAGGAAGATGAAATCTCAAAGGGTAGAGAAACTTGCAACTATAGAGATAAAGGAATAGACAGAGTATTAAAAGCTTAGAACAGGTACATAGAGGTCAAGAGTCCCACATACATGTCTGAGCAACTTGGGGTGCTTGGAGAAGACCTTTGGGAGCCTAGGCTGGGAAAGCCAGTAGGATCAGTTTGAAACAGACCTTTATTTGGCATCTGGAGTTTGGATTTGGTAGACCAGAGCGAATCTTTTGGAGCAGCAGTGAGACCCTCAAAGGGTCTTTCAGGACACAGAAGTTGGCAGCAGGACAGAAATGAGTTTGAGGGGCAGCCAGAAAGCAGGAGGGGCAAGTGAGAAGGTATGATAGGACAGGCTGGAGTTCCTGAGGGTCCATCTGGGAGGTAAGCAGGCATGGGAAGGGGAAGGGAAGGAATGGCCAAGGTAGGAGCTCAATAAGACTCTGCATTGCTTATCTGGCTATGGGGGTGGGGGAGAAGATGGTTAGAGTTTGGCAGAGGAGGCTATCACACTATCATCAGGAACAAGGAACTCAAGCAAGTTCGGAGAGGGGCTGGGGAGAACACCCTGCGTGTCTGGGAATAGGTCAGACCTGGCATTAGGAGTCCTGTCTCAGCATGGGGATACTACTGGGTACTCCTGGGCAGGCTGGTGGAGGACTCCAGATTGGTGTGCCCACCCTGCTGATACATGTGCTAAGGAGGGGAGGGTGTAGCAAAGCACCTCTTGGCATAAAAATACCGGTGAGCTGGGAGCGGAGGCTGTTCCTATCAGGTGTAGGAGAAACAAGTAGCTTCTGTGTAGCATCTTTAGCCACCTTGACAGGGTGTTTCAAATGTTTTAGATACCAAGGAGGTAATATTGTCAATACATCTAAGTGGTGCTATTTGAAAGGGGGTAGACGTTAAGAACTAGTGCTCAGGAAAGAGATGTAGGCCAGTATGTCAGGAGTGTCCTTGGACATCTGAGATGGGGTGGTGATAAAAGGCATGGCTCCAGGAAGAGTAAAGGGAGAAGGGGCTTTAATGTGGGAACAAAACCACTGACAGTGTCAGCAATGTGTAGACTTTATATTCAGGCTGAGAGCAAAGGAAACAGTAATCCTTTCCCACATCCCCTCGCTTCCCCACCTGTATACATGTGGAAGTCCAAGTCCACACAAATGACCTGCTTTGTAAAAACTCACCATTCCAAAATTCCTAGCCACAAACAGTGATGCTGAAAGATGAATGAGCCCATGCCAAGAGCTCTGAACAACAAACTCCAGCAGCACATTTATAATAATTCAATTCTAAAAATTTAAATGTGCACACAATTTCCTGGGAAACAGAGCTGGTACTCAGGAATGTCACTGCTGACCCTGAACCCACAGAGGCCATTAACCCACTCTGACCTTGTTTGCCACCTCTCAACAGTGGGAACCACTAGGCCAGAGGACAGGGGTATGGGTGGGCCCTACCTCTCAGAACGAAGAGCCACCCACTCTGATCCCCCTAGCAAGGCTCCTGGACTTGCTAAATTTGTTCCATGAGAAGGTGGCAAGGCTCCCTCAGAGGATCCATACTTAGTCCTGTCCATACTTAGTCCTTACTGTTTCCTGCTCTCATGCTCCCAATGCCAGCCCAAACACACTATTTGGGTTTAGGGCTTGGTTTATCTTCTCAGCTATGACCCAGACTCCTCTGGCAAGAGTCCAGCCCCCCAACCTGTCCACTCACTGCCCGGTACAGCCTTAACTAGTACCTTCCGCTAGGCAGCCCCATGTGGCTGCTGCTCTTGTAACCCATCTCCCATTGCCCTGTGAGCCCCTTGGTGGATCCCAAGTCCTTACCACTAGCAGAGCCCAGCCCAGGGAGCTGCCTCTGGTGCTAAGGACTATGAAGCCAGGGCTCTGAGGTGCCACCCAGGAAACATCCTTACCTTCCTGCCATGGACATCCAAGATGCTATGCCGAGATACATCCACCAGTTCTCCCTCCAGCAGGATGCCATTTCCCCTGGGAAAGGAGGGAAAGAAGGGATGGGTTAGTTCTGTCAGTCCACAGGAAAGAGCTCCATCTCAAGCTTGATGGTTCAGGTCAGTCTGTACATGGACAAAAGTCCATGCATGTCTCCAACTTACATGATCCATTACTTAACGGTCCCTTCCCGGTGCTTCCCACATTGGGCCTGCATTCTCCCGGGATGGGGGTGGGAGTGCTACCCAGAGGGCAGAAGTAACCTAACCTTGGAAGGCTGTTCTAAGACCAAGTTAAAGTCTCTCCTGCAGGGCCATTGGGGATTATTGTAACCAGAGCCTCAGTCTACTTTTCTACAATATGGAGAGAGCAATAGCCACCTCACTCTACTCTTCCAACGTTGACATCAGTTCATGCATGGGAAGGGGTTTTATAAACTATAAAATGCTTACTACATAGAAAGGATGCAGATTGTGGTGCTGGCGGAGAATGCTGAAAGTACCATGGACTGCTAAAAGAACTAACAGATCTGTCCTGGAGGAAGTGCAGCCAGAATGCTCCTTGGAAGCAAGAATGGCCAGACTTCGTCTCACCTATTTTGGTCATGTTGTAAGAAGGGACCATTCCCCGGAGAAGGATGTCATGCTTGGTAGGGTGGAGGGTCGACGAAAGAGGGGGAGGCCTTCAACGTGATGGATTGATACGGTGGCTGCGATGATGGGCTCAAGTATAGCAGGGATTGTGGGGCTGGCGCGGGATTGGGCAGTGTTTTGTTCTGCTGTGCATGGGGTCACTATGAGTCGGAAACGACTCGACGGCACTTAACAACAACAACAACAACATAGAAAGGGTTTTGCTTTTTTATTTAACAAACTGGGAGGGGGCAAGGGTCTAAATTGCTATGAATTATCTTCTCTTTTCACCTGTTTGAAAGCACTGCTATATATTCTTGTTGTCATTCATATCAACAGTCAATAATCGAATGTTGTTGTTAGATGTCATTGAGTCGGCCCCAACTCACAGAATGAAACACTGCCTGTCCTGCACCAGCCTCATAATCCTTGCTATACCTGAGCCCATCATGGCAGCCACTGTGTCAATCCATCTCGTTCACGGCCTTCCCCTTATTCATTCACCCTCCACTTTCCCAAGCATGATATCCTTCTCCAGAAAATGGTCCCTTCTGACAACATGACCAAAGTAGGTGAGATGGAGTCTGGCCATTCTTGCTTCCAAGGAGGGGGTTCTGGCTGCACTTCTTCCAGGACAGACTTGTTAGTTCTCCTGCAGTCCATGGTACTTTCAAAATTCTTTGCCAACACTACAACTCAGAAGCATTGACTCTTTTTCGGTCTTCCTTATGCTTGTCCAACTTTCACATGCATATGAGGCGACTGAAAAGACCATGGCTTGGGTTAGGCATACCTAAGTCTTCAAAGAGACATCCTTGCTCTTCAGCACTTTAAAGAGGTCTTTTGCAGCAGATTTGCCCAGTGTAATACGTCGTCTAATTTCTTGACTGCTGCTTCCATTGGTGTTGATTGTGGAGCCAAGTAATATGAAATCTTCGACAACTTCAAATCTTCTCTCCATTTATTGTAATGCTGCTTATTGGTCCAGTTGTGAGGATTTTGTTTTCTTTATGTTGAGGTGTAATCCATACTGCAGACTATAGTCTTTAACCTTCATCACTAAGTGCTTCAAGTCTTCATGTGCAGCAAGCAAGGTTGTGTCATCTGCATATTACAGGTTGTTAATGAGTCTTTTTCCTATCCTGATGGTGTGCTCTTCTTCATATAGTTCAGCCTCTCAGATTATTTGCTCAGCATACAGATTGAGTAAGTATGGTGAAAGGATGCAACCCTGATGCACTCCCTCCCTGATTTAAAACCATGCAATATCCCCTTATCCCCTTGTTCTGTTTGAATGACAGCTTCCTGATCCTTGTACAGGCATTTGTGTGGATTATAACAAATTATGGATAACAATGAGAAGAATGGGAATTCCAGAACACTTGATTGTGCTCCTGAGGAACCTGTACAACCGAATGAGGAAATGATTATTCCCACTTTAAAACCAAAACCAAATCCACTGCTATGGAGTCGATTCAGAGTACAACTACCCCATAGGGTTTCCAAGGCTATAAATCTTTCCAACCACCAACCTTTTGGTTTGCAGCCCAACGCCTTAACCATTGCACTACCAGAGCTCCTTATTTCCCCTTTACTCAAAGGTTTTGGGACTACCCCAAGGTCACAGGATCACTCACTGAGAGAACTGGAGCCCCAGCTTCCTAATTCAACTTTTCATAAAAGCAGAACCTGAGGGCTCCGTTTTGTGGAACCATAGAAATGGGAGAGGGGCAGAAAACTGAATCAGAAAACTCACTCTGCCTTATTTTCTCCTACCCATCTCCCACCAACCACCAAGGGCACAAAAATTCTCTAGTGTTTGTAATTTCAAAGAGCCCTGGTGGTGCAATGGTTAAGGGATTGGATGCTAGAGGAAAGTTTTAACCCACCTGCTGCTCTGTAGCAGAAATATAAGGCAGTCTGCTTTGGTAAATATTTACAGCCTTGGAAACCCTGTGGGGCAGTTCTACTCTGTCCTACAGGGTCACCATGAGTCAGAATTCGATTTGTCCGCAATGGGTTTGATTTGATTGGTTTGTAATTTCAAGTGGAATGGTTCATTCCTTCCCAAAACTTCCGAGATGGCAAGGCACCGCATGGTATGGCATGGCCATCCAGGTCCTCCACACTCACCTCCAGACAGGCCCTGTCCTCTCCCAGCCAATTCCCACCTGCTGTTCCAGTCATGGCACAGGCACCTTCCTTTCTGGAAAAAGGGGATAGCCTGTGCAGAGGCCTGGAGGCAATGCAGCAGGACAAGTGGCTGGAGTTTATAGTCATGGGGGTGGGGTAGAGGCAGAGGTCTGCATGGGCCACAGCACCGCCTTCTGAGCCTAGTTCAGGAGTGGAGACCCTCCCTTGAGGGCACCAGTGACAGCGAGGCGTTTCATGCCCATATTCGTCTCAGAAGTCGCGCTCTGGCTGCGGGGAGGTGCGGAATGAAGGCCCCCGAAAAGCGACTTTGGTCACCCCAGCCTTTCCTTCTTCCATCCTACCCTTCAATCTAGGAGCCCAGGCTCAAAGCTGAGGTGGGAGAGGGCGGCGGAGGCTAGGTCTGGCAGGCCTGGGGAGAGATGGATGCCCCAGCCCGCGGGGGGCGCGGCGGAGCCTACCCCTGGTAGGCGGCGGGGTCCCAAACCCCGGGCAACCGCACGTTCTGCACCGCCTTGTTCCGGAGGGCGCTGTCGTGGTAGATACGGCTCATTATCTGGACCGCCGATGAGCCTGGGGGTCCAGAGAACCGAGCTGGCACGACGGGTGAAGAGTCACAGAGGAAGGAAACCTCTGGAGTAGATGCCGAGACCCGCGATTCCCAGGCTGCAGATGCAGGAATGGCGCAGCGTGGCGCGGCCCGGCCCCGGGCGTTCCCGGGCGGGATTTAAAGGGGCCGAGCCGCATTCCTGTCGGCGGGCGGCGAGCGGTGGGAAGGAGCTTCCGGGAGGACACACGCCTGTGGGCTTAGGACCCGTGAGCACAGTGGAAGAGAACTAACGCCTCGTTCTTTTTTCTCACTTACTCCTTCCTTGTTACTGGAGGGAGACCCTTGCCCCAAAACACGCACGAAAGGGAAAACTGAGGCTGAGAATCCTTTGGGGATCAGTTCTGGGAGAGTGACTTTTGGGGGAGCAGGAATGGAGAGGAGGGAACAGCCCTCAGGAACTACTGGATGGTCTGCACAGGAGCTGCTCATTTTGCTGTAACCGTGATTCCACAGTGGCTGAGAGGTTACAGAGATCTGAGACGAGGAAGTGTGCTTTGGGAGTCAGATGCACAAAACACCAAGGTTTGAATCCCGGCTGTGTGAGCTTGGGCAAATTCCTCAACCTCTCCGAGCCTGCGCTCCCTCTTCTGTAAAAGGCTTTGTAAAGATCAATGAGCGTATAGCCTCGAGTGCTGAGCATTGCCCGACAGTCCCTCTCCTTACGCAATTCCCTGACCTCTCCGCCCACCGTGCCCTTTGCCCAGATATGTCGATGTTTGCAGGTGCATTTTCCAAACCTGTAACAGGAATCAGCCCTGGGGCGGGTAGGTCCACTCAGGGTAGCCAGATGTCCCCTCTGAAGGGATCATTCAAAGAGAAATGGCCAGGCAGATACCTGGGAGCTCAGGATGAGCTGTCAATGGTGGTAGAAGCCCCTGTTCTCCTTCCCCACCACATCATGACTTTTGTGGGCCCTAGCCACTTATGCCTTCATGGGCCCCTTCTTTCATCAAAAGAAAATAATAATAATAATATATGTGTGTATAAAAATACATATATGAATACATATAGCATAAACACATATATACATAAAATAAATATTTAAAATGTTTATAACTGTTGGCATAATGATGAATACGTTAATATTATATATTAAAACATTTTCTTTGACCTAAATTTCATTTTTTTTCTTCTAATATTAAAACATTTTCATGGACTTCTAAAAATGTTATGAGTTCTAATTGTTGTCATTGTTAGGTGCTGCTGTGTTGGCTCCAATTCATAGCAACCCTATGTGTAACAGAAATGTTGCCCAGTCCTGGGCCATCTTCATCACTGTAGGTATGTCTGAGCCCATTATTGTAGTCACTGTGTCAATTCATCTCATTGAGGGTCTTTCTCTTTTTCACTAACCATCTATTTTGTTCTTCTCCAGGGATTGGTCCCTCCTGATAATATGTCCAAAGTAAGTGAGATGAAGTCTTGCCATCCTTGCTTCTAAGAAGCTTTCTAGGTGCACTTATTTCAAGACAGATTTGTTCATTCTTCTGCAAGTCCATGGTATATTCAATATTCTTCACCAACACCATAATTCAAATGCATCAATTTTTGGGTCTTCCTATCTCATTGTGAGCCCGAGATGCTGTGCCTAATGGGTAAATTAGCGCTGCCCCAATCTGCCCTACCTGGCTGCTCAGTGAACAACAGAGAAAGAAGGACACAGAATAACCCTACAGGGAACACCCCAGGGCAGAACTGTCCCTTCCTTGGCCCTCTCTCCTCACAACTCACCAGGCTGCTCCCCTGGCTGTCATGCTCTCCTGCCTCCTTCCCTCTTCTGTGTCATCTTTCCTTTCACTGTGGCTCCAAATTTAAATAGCCACCTGTAGCTATTAAAATTAATTAAACTTAAATAATACTTAAAATTAAATTCTTTAGTCTCAATGGCCATATTTCAAGTGCTCAATAGCAAAATGCAGCTAGTGGCTACCACAGTGGACAGCAGAGATATAGCCATGCCCATTATTGCAGAAATTTCTGTTGGATGATGTGGTGGTTAAGTTTGTGTGTCAACATGGCTGGGCCTGGATGAGTGGCTGGGCAGCTGAATGTACTTATTCCCCATGGTGAGACTGGTAATTAACTCCCTGGTGGAATATATTGGAGCAGCTGAGTAGCTGCTTCAGGTATGTGGTCTGCTTTCCATATATAAGAAATAGCTTTGAGAATGATCTCTAGTTCATGGCACGCTTGAACCCTGCATGTAGCCGTGTCAGTGTTCAGCAGCCTGCCATGCTCTGCCCACCTTGGGACTTACAATGAACTTAAATTAATGGCTTGCTGTGTGGTTTGGTAACATCGGGACTGTGCCTTTTTACTCGTCAACCTTGGGCTTGTCAGTCTTAGCAACCAGTAGCTGTCTGAGTGAAGAAAAGCCTCTAGCTTCAGTGGGCCAGGAGCAGGAAGCAGAGCTGAAGCCAAGGTTGAGGGGGTTTTACCCAGCCCCTAGAACCTGGCACTCTGAACTTAGACTTAAAGCCTCCAAACTGTAAGAGAATAAACTCCTGTTTCTTCAAGCCATCCCATTTGTGGTATATTCTTGTCAAAGTGGTACTAAGTAACTGAAACAGATGGCATTACTCTTAATACTTTCGTAGAAGAACTATCTCTTGTTTATTAGCCTCTGCAGCATTGCTCCATCAGCTCAATTGGGAAAGTTAGGATAACTTCTTAGCTACCAATAAGTACTTTAAGAGAGTGGGTCACTGGGCCTGTCGGCTGGAGACCATGGTCATGGGGGACATCAAGCTTAATTGGCACAACATGGCATACAAAAATATAGTTCTACATCTTACTTCGATGAGCAGCGAGTGGGGTTTTAAAAGCTTGCAAGCAGCCATCTAAGTGGCAACTATTGGTCTCTCCTCATCAGGAACAAAGAAGAGTGAAGAAAGTCAAAGGCATGTGGAAACAGTTAGTCCAAAGGACTATTGGAGCATGAGAACTTCAGCCTATATGACCTTGAGACCAGAAGAACGAGATGGTGCCTGGCTACCAAATCCAACCACTTGGAATGGGATCAAAATCTTAGATCCTGGATAGAGTGGGAAAAAAATGTGGAACAAAACTCAAAATCATAAAAATGGTCAGGCTTGCTAATCTGATAGAGACTTCTGGAACTGCCAAAAGTATGGCCCCTAGTCACCCTTTGGGCCTGGAATTGAACTCACTCCAGTGGCTTAACTCTCAGCCAAAAAATAGACAGGCCAATGAGCTGAACAGCTACATCAGGGAGATGCACTTCTTAAAATAATCTACCGTGGGAGATCAGAAGGGCAGCATTTACCCAGGGAGAAAGGTAGGGAGGCAGGAATGCATAGGCATAATTAGTGTCACAAAACAAAACGTGTATGAACTATTGAATGTAAAATCAATCTGCTTTGTAAAATTTTACCCAAATCACAATAAAAAGTTTAAAAAAAGGCAGACCAGGCTCTAGCAAGGCACAGGAATCTAAAAGACAAAATATATATATATTTTTTGTCCCAAGACTATGGCCCTTAGACACCCTGCAAGCCTGGAACTGAACTCAACCCCATGGCTCAACTTAAAGTCAAATGATAGATATGCCTATAAGTTGAATAATAATATTTAGGAGGTATGTGCTCATTATAGCAATCAACCACGTAGACTCTCAAGGGCAGCATTTGCCCAGGGATAAAGCTCAGAATGCAAAAAGGGACAGGAAAGAAGGACTAATGGAAACAGGAAATACAGGAAATGGGAAGAGTGTTGTTACGTTGTGGGGATTGCAGTGAACGTCATAAAACAACGTGTTTGAATTGTTGAGTGGATAACCAATTTGTACTATTAACTTTCATCCAAATCACAATTTAAAAAAAAAATCAGAACTTTGTTAGACTTTCTTAAACCTATTGTACAGTTTATGTCTCTATAGGAGCCCTGGTGGCACAGTGGTTACGCTCTTGGCTGCTACCAAAAGGTCCTCAGTTCAAACCCACCAGTCACTCCACAGGAGAAAGATGTGGCAATCTGCTTCTGTAAAGATTACAGCCTTGGAAACTCCGTGGGGCAGTTCTACTCTGTCCTATAGGGTCACTATGGGTCTGAAACGATTCAATAGCAACACGTTTATGTCTCTATATTAAATTATACACCACAAGGGGCAACATCTCCAGTGGGAAGACAGTAATGAGTCATCTTAGATTAATAGGATTCAACATTCAAATTTGACAACAACTCCCTTCACTCTATGTCATCATCAAAATTCCCCCCCCCTTTTTTTAATTATTGTTGGTATAAGCAGATAAATTTAGCTAAAGAAGCTAAAGCTTTGGGCCCTTCAATTCCATGGGCCCCTTTTAAGGATGGGGCTGGAGGGACTAAACGATGGTGTTCATATGGACATATGCTTTTGTGAAATTTTCATTGGTAAGTAGTTTTGCTGCAGTTAAGACCTCCCCCCTCCCCAACAGTTCTTTTTCTCGTGTTAGGTGATGTTAGAGCAGGATCTAAGTGGGGGATGTTTACAAGTGCAGTGCAGTGAATTGCTTAATATGGCCTTTCTAGCGATAGTTCTCCATTTTGTGATGCATTGTTAATCCTAGTCCTATACCTGCTTAAAGGAGCGCTGGTGGTATAGCGGGGAGCTCTGGTAGCGTAGTGCCTAAGGCACTTGACTGCTAACCAGAAGGCTGGCAGTTCAAACCCACCAGCAACTCCTCGGAAGGAAGGTTAGGCAATCTACTTCTGTAGTGATTCTGCCCAAGGAGGGGTTACTATGAGTCATATCCGATGCCACAGCAGTGGGTTTGGTTTTTGGTTTTTGGGTGGTGTAGTGGATAAGGCATTTGGCTGCTAACCAGAAGGTCAGTGGTTCAAACCCACCAGCCACTCTGTGGATGGAAGATGGGGCATTCTACCTCCATAAAGATTTATAGGTGGGATGTATCTTGAGTCCCACCTTGCTGGAGGCTGTGACT